GGCTCACTGCAACCTCTGCCTCCAAGGTTCAAGCAATTCTCATGTCTCAGCCTCCTGAGTAGCTGGGATTACAGGCATGCACCTCCACACCGGGCTAATTTTTTGTATTTTTAGTAGAGGCAGTGTTTCAACACGTTGGCCAGGCTGGTCCCAAACTCCTGACCTCAAGTGATCCACCCGGCTCAGTCTCCCAAAGTGTTGGGATTACAGGCATGAGCTACCGCACCCAGCCACAGATGTGTTTTAAACGTCTATAAAATGAACATTCTCAAACATTCTGGTCTCAGAACTTGCTACAGTTTGGATGTTTGTCCCCTCAAACCTCATGTTGAAATCGCATCCCCATTGTTAGAGGTGAGGCCCAATGGGAGGTGTTTGGGTCATGGGAGTGAATCCCTCATGAATGGCTTGGTGCAGTGAGTTCTTGCTCTGAGTTCTCTGCAGTGAGTTTACTTAGTGCAGTGAATTCTCACTCTGATTGTTAAAAAGAGAGTTGCCCCGCCTCCTCCGCCTCTCCGCCCCAGCTTCCTCGCTGCCCACGTGATCTCTGCACACACCGGCTCTCCTTTTTCCACCATGGAAGCAGCCTGAGGCTTTCCCCAGATGCCCAATTTTCCAGCCAGCAGAACTATAAGCTAAATAAACCTCTTTTATTTTAAATTACCTATCCTCAGATATTTCCTTATAGCAATACTAAATGGATAAAGACAGAACTCCTTTACACTCTTAAAAATTATTAAGGATGGAGCGATAGGAATTACAAAGCAGTACAGGAATCGGCTGGGAGTAATGAATACGCTCATTACCTTGATTGTGGTAATGGATAAGTTAAATTATATGTGTCATCTTGGCTGGGCTGTGGTGCTGACTGTTTTGGTCAATCACTAATCTAGACGTTGCTGCAAAGGTACTTTGTAAATGTGATTAGCATATACAAACAATTGACTTTAAGTAAAGGAAGATTACCCTCAATGATGTAGGTGAGCCTCATCCAATCAGTTGAAGAATTCACAAACAAAAACTGAGATTTCCTAGAGAAGAAATTCTGCCTCAAGAATGTAACAGGGCTTCCTGAGACATTCTGCTGGCCTGCCCTATAGATCTCAAACACAAGACTACAGCATCAACTCTTGTCTGGGTTTCCAGCCTCCTTGCCTTCCCTACAAATTTTGGACTTGCCAGCCCCCACCATGGCATGAGCCAATTTTTAAAAATAATCTCTTTTTTAAAATAATCACACACATATCCTATTGGTTCTGTTTCTCTGGAGAAATCTGGTAAAGATGAATTCACAAACATATACACATGCAAAAATTGGTACTGAGGAATTTTTTAATATATAATATTTAATGTTAATTTTTATCAATATTTATTATATTGTATATATATTTTTAAAAGAGCTACATTTTCCAAAACAAAAAATATTGGCCAGGCGTGGTGGCTCACACCGGTAATCTTAGCACTTTGGGAGGCTGAGGCGGTGGATCACGAGGTCAGGAGTTCGAGACCAGCCTGGCCAACATAGTGAAACCCCATCTCTACTAAAAATGCAAAAATTAGCCAGGCATGGTGGCACATGCCTGTAGTTCCAGCTACTCGGGAGCCTGAGGTAGGAGAATCACTTGAACCTGGGAGGCAGAGGTTCTGGTGAGCCAAGATTGCACCACTGCACTCTAGCCTGGGCAACAGAGCAAGACTCCATCTCAAAAATATATACATATATTAAATATATACATTTATTATATATTATATAGTATATATTATATATTAAATTAAAAATATTAAACAGTCCCACTCTTACCTATATATATATATGTAAGTGTGTCCTATATGACTCCACAGGGAGAGGACTCATGGAAGCTTGTGCCTGGTTTCCTCCAGGCTCCACCTTATATAACCTTTTCCATGTTGATTTTGCTTTGTATTCTTCACTGTAATAAATATAGCTATGGGTACAACTGTATGCTGAGTTCTGTGAATCCTCCTAGCAAGTCATCAAATCTTACATACATAAATATATATATATATATATATATATGAGTGGGACTGTTTAATATTTTCACAAATCTCTTTAATATCTGGCTTAAAAGAAAACAGCTAGACTCATTTGCTTCTGCATTCAATGTGTTACAATATACTGTTTTGGATGAAGTATATGAAGAATATCTGGCCTCAATCAGATATATCGTTGGAAAGGGGAGGGGTATTATAATAGTCCTTTCAGCCTATTCTTTGATAACACACCAAAACTTGGCAAGTGGTGGTTTCTTATACAGTTACAATGTAGAATCTGGAACCATATCAACAAACTTTCAGACACTATTGAAATCGACTGATCTATCTTGATTTTCGAGAGGATCATTTAGCTACATATTATTTTGTCATATCACATACTGGTCTTCACAAAATATTGAGGCTGAATATGGTGGCTCACACCTACAATGCCAGCACTTTGGAAGGCCTAAGAAGGAGGATCACTTCAGGCCAGGAGTTCAAGACCAGTTCGGGAAACAAAGCGAGACTGTCTCTACAAAAAATAAAAATAAGGCCAGGCAGGTGCAATGGCTCACACCTGTAATTCCAGCACTTTGGGAGGGCAAGGCGGGAAGATTGCTTGAGCTCAGGAATTTGAAATCAGCCTGGGCAACACAGTGAAACCCCATCTCTACAAAAAACACAAAAATTAGCCAGGCATGGTGGCCTGTGTCTATAGTCCCAGCTACTCCAGAAGCTGAGGTGGGGGATCACTTGAGCCCCAGAGGGAGGCTGCAGTCAGCCGAGATCGCACCACTGCAGTCCAGCCTGGGTGACAGAGTGAGATCCTGTCTCAAAAAAATAAAAATAAAAATAAAAATAAATTAGCCTAGCTTAGTGGTACACGCCTGTAACACCAGCTACTCGGGAGACTGAGGTAGAAGGACTGCTTGAGCCTGGGAGGTTGAGGCTGCAGTAAGATAGGATCATGCCACTGCACTCTAGCCTAGGCAACAGAGCAAGACTCTGCTCAAAAAAAAAAAAAAAAAAAAAAAAAGGAGAAGAAAAGAAAATACCGATTCACAGTTATGCAGACCTTCCAAGTACTGACATATTTCATCATATGATAAATATCAAGACAATCATCTTGATATCAATCAACAATCTAATCAGAAATGCCTTTCTTTACTTTTCCTTTCTTTTTTAATTTTTTTTCTTCAGACAGGGTCATACTCTGTCGCCCAGGCCGGATGGAGTTCAGTGCCACAATCTCGGCTCAAAGCAGCCTCCACCTCCTCAGCCTCCCAAGTAGCACCATGCCCAGCTAACTTTTGTGTCTTTTGTACAGACAGGGTTTTGCCACATTGCCAAGGCTGGTATTGAACTCCTGGGCTCAAGAGATCCTCCCACCTTGGCCTCCCAAAGTGCTGGGATTACAGGCATGAGCCACCATGCCCAGCCTTAGAAAGCTTTTAAATATTAGGGAAATGTCAAGCTCATGGTAAAATACAAATTTTCCAAAATTCTAATTTTTGCTTAAGCTCAAATTATATTGTTGCTAACAAACAGTGTCAGTTGTTTTCCTTGAAATAACAAGTTCACATCATCCATTCTCAAGAAAACATCTTCCAAATACCCAAGTCTGGATAAACATAATTTTTCTGCAGTTATTTTTATAAAAATAAAAATGCTGTTCCACATAAAAAAGTAGTAGATTCACCCTGCAAATGACTTGCCTTAAGACAACCATCATACTTCAGTACATAGCAAGAATGCTACATGATACTTCCCATTTTGACAATATTCAAAAGACATGCACTAAATGGTCAAAATTTACTAAAATTAATCATTTTACTGCATCATAAAAAAACTTCAATTGAAACGGCATTTTTTTCTTTTTTGTTGCAAGCACATGGCAGAAAAGAATGCAATGATTACTATAATAGTTTGTGGCCACTGCCTTGTTTTGCACCAAGGCACCAGCAGTTTTAGCCTGCAGCTGCTTTTGTATCATCAGTACAAATGTTAACAGGGTGAAAGGGATAATAACGTTGTGGTATTATTGTAAAAGTTGTTTGGATCTCATAGACCACCTGCAAGGCTCTCAGAGCCCTCCAGAGGCCCACAACCAAACTTTGACAACTGTTGTTCTAAATAAATACTCTTAGGTGCTGAAATGATGAGAGGAACATCAATGGCTCCACAAGCTGCATAAGGTGAAGCAATCATGATCAGAAATGAAGAGCCAAGGAACTTGCCTTGAAGATGCATTTGCATGGCAAGCTCATTTTTACTTATGTATGTCTATTAGAAGGGATAAATTTATATGTAACTGGGCAATAATCAGTGAAATTTTACATATCATTCTGATTATGGGAATAACTAAAGTTATTTCTGATTTATCATGGCTATTCTATATAATATGGGCTTATTATTAAGTGGCTTCAGAGTCAAATTTCTAAACTAATTTCTAAAAACTAAAGTAGTAATTAACATTTCTTCAATATAAAATTAAGCAGAAACAGTTGCTAATTTTTTTAATAGCCTACTTTCAGTGTAAACACTGCTAAACAATGAAAGGTAGTCATTTAACTTATAAGGCCATAAATTTTAATTCAAGTGAAATTTACCATGTATGATATTGGGACAAATGTTTATAATCGCTGTATCTTCTGATTTTAACATTTAGGCCATTGAAAGACACACTAGAGGAGAATAATACAGATGTTCAAAATGCAATATTCATTAACAACGCTTTTCAATTAAAAAAAAAAATTGTTCCCTGATGGAATCATGAAGCGTGTCAATTATAAGCAAAACAAATCCCAAAAATGTTGATTTAGGAACTGTTTAAAATAAGACAGCATGTATACTAATAATACTTACAGAATAAACCATTTTTAAGCTATACTTAAATTCTAGTTATTAAGTCATATATCCTGGTAACTTATGTTATAAAATTACATTTCAATTCATACAACTTAAATTTTATAAAACCAAAATGATAACAAGGAAGGTTGACTTACTCGATCTGCTAATCCTCCAGGAACTATAGTCCTCACAACCACGCCACTTGTTTTTCCTCCAACTATACCAAAACCTAGTCCGGAGCCATCATTAATGAGCTCAACCTCTTCAACATGGCCCCAGCAAACCTACAAATTAATGGCACATAAGAGTCACAGGATCAGTAATACTCACAGATTCTTAGTTTTCCAATACAATCATTACCAAAGTAACATTGCAACAAATTGAACATTCATACAATTAATCAAGGCAATGTTCTACAGGCTAAGACATACAGACAGAGATAATCATATGGTCCCTGACCGTAGGGATCTTATAATCCAGTAGAGAGAAAGTAAAACATAAATAATTCAAATACAAGGCAGAATATTGGATCATAAGGCACTAGCCCTAAGAGCACAGGAAACATTTCTCACTCCTCACTCTACACTGGATATCCAGCACAGTGCCCAGCACATAGTAGGGACCAGTAAATACGTGTCTGCTTGAAAGAGAATCACAAAATATTATAAAGACTTTTTACAGGGAAGGAAGAACATGAAGTCAAAACCAATGAAGAATTACAGAAAACTTCAAGGAAAAGGGGCATTTAAGTTGCACTACAAAGGAAGACATTCAAGCAAAAAGAAAATGTAAGGGCAAAGCTAGGCCAGATAACACCATGGATGAAAGATATGGTCAAAAGGTTGGATTTAACTGGGTAATCAAGTGGAAGTAGTTAAAGGTTTTAGAAGAGAAATGACAGAACCAAAGAAGTGGTTTAAGAAAATTCATCTGGCAGCAATGAGAAGAATCTAAAATGGTGGTAGGACACAAAGTGGAGAGACTAATTTAGGAGACTCTTATGAGGGAGAGGAAAGGTAGGCCCCACTGAAGATATTAGCAATAGGACTATACAAATTAGACTAAAAGACATAAGCATTTCCCCTCTAACTAGCAGGTTTCTATGAGAAATGGGCATTACTTCACATAATCCAACTGCAGAACAATATCTTCCCTCTCAAGATCATTAGGGCATACTCATTACTTAGTCTTTTCTTTCTTCTTTCTTTCCCTCCTTCCTCGCCCCCTCGCCTCCCTCCCTCCCTCCTCCGCTCCCCCTCCTTTCCTTCTGTCTTTTCTTTTCTTTCTTTCTTTTCTTTTCTTTTCTTCATTTCTGCTCTGCTCTCTTTCTTTCTGTTAGAGACAAGGTCTCACTCCTGTTACCCAG